CTAACTCATACAATCACACGCTACCACGTATTAAAAGAACTCGCCGACGCAGCTGCTTGGGAATTCTCAAACAAAAGTCCCCTTGACAACGTTTGGGCAGAGTTGGTTAATAAACTCAGCGACATCGTCAACAAAGTATCAGAGACCAAACCCTTCGTCTCGCGCAAATGTCTTCAATATTAAGTAGTAGAACCAGAAAATGCCTGGCGATAAGCGATGCAGCCTGGCATGCCTACAAGATTATCCCCGACTCAGAAACTTGGGGAAATTTCCTGACCCATCGCAACCATTGCACTGCACTTGTCCGTGAGGACAAAATAACGTATCAACGGTGCCTAGCCAAAAAGTTCATGGTAAACAACAAACTGCTATATAAGCATGTCAATAAGCTTCGTAAAGTGAAGCATGGAATACCCCCACTATCCACGACAGGCGGTAGAGTACAAAGCGCCGAAGAAGCAGCTAATGCCCTGCGGCTACAATACGCCTCAATTTTTGAACTCGCAACATCTACCTGTCCCATAATATCAAGCACATTACCGATACATTTGTTTGCAAATGTTATTTTCAACCCATCAATTGTGCTAAGGAAGGTACTCTCACTGCGTGAGCATAGTTCTCCGGGAGCAGACAACATCCGCCCGAATGCACTGAAGGCTACGGCCACCAAGCAAGCTGAACCACTGGCACAGTTCTTTCAAAGGTGCTTTGATGAAGAACAAGTCCCCACTATGTGGAAGTGTGGCATTATAACCCCTATTTTTGAAGGTGGTAGCCGTTCCGATCCTGCAAACTATCGTCCAGTGACTCTCCTCCCTGTGCTCGCGAAGGTGATGTAAGCAGTCGTCGCTGAGGCTTTAATGGACTACCTGGAAAAATGCAACATTTTGGTACCGTCAACACCGGTCACGCACCACCAACCTACTGATTGCATGAGGTAGTTGGACGGAAGTGGTCGATGATGGGGTCGGAGTCGACGTCATCTATCTGGACTTCGCCAAAGCTTTCGACCGCCTTGATCACCGCACCCTACTTCAAAGACTACAAAGTCACGGAATCGGAGATCCTGTACTTGGTTGGATTGGCAACTTCCTTTACCAACGAAAGCTTCAAGTATGTGTTAGGGGATCACTTTCTAACCCAATCGAGGTGGAATGTGGTGTACCACAAGGCTCAATGCTGGGACCGCGTTTATTCCTGGTGTTTATCAACGACCTGGCAAGAGTCATCTCCTCAAATTTCCTGCTTTTCGCCGATGACGTCAAGATATGGCGCGCGATTAGTAACAAGGCAGAGCAGGATCTTCTCCAACATGACCGAGATTGCATTTACGAATGGTCAAAGAGGAACAAGCTTCAATTGAACATGGCTAGGTGCAAAGTGATGCATCTGCTTCACCAGCCGGTGAGCGCTTACAGGATTGGAGACCACATCTTGGCGAATGTTTCTCATTAGCGTGACCTGAGTGTATTGGTACAGGAAGATCTCGGGTGTTCAAAACAAGCAGAGAAGGCGCCGAGAACCGGAAATCGACCTTCTTCTTCGGCCTTCTTCGCAGAGCCTTCGGTCGGTTTGAACCATTAATATTTCCCCAAATGCTTAGCGCCTACATGCGACTTCACGTGGAATATGCTATTCAGGCGTGGCAGCCATGGCAGAAACAGGATCTCGTTACTCTCGAGACTCCTCAACGACGGGCAACCCAGAACGTCAGGGGCCTCTTTCGTCTGCCCTATCAACTTAGACAGAAATCTCTAAGAATGTAGAGCAGTCGATATCGGCTTTTGCGGGTGGATCTCATAATGGTTCACCAGATTCTGAAGAAACCAGACCACATTTGCTGTCCGCTGCTGGAATTGAACCACAACACTAAACTAAGGGGTCACCATCTGAAACTGACTATTCAGTATAGCCGGATTGAATGCCGTAGAAATTTCTTTTCTCTCCGCGTGTGCCAGCCTTGGAACGCCCTCCCTAATTATGTCGTCTCTGCTCCCAATCTGGTGATATTTAAAAAACGTGTTGACGATGCATTGTCTCACGTACATTTCATTTTATGACTTGTAAGCCAGGGGGTACAAAACGCAAGCAAACGGTGTCTTGCCAAACGCCTAACCAATGGATTTATGGATTTATACGTTTAATACGCGAACATCTTCGCTATTCCACATAAGTCTATGGTGAGGCCACCACAACGCTTTTTACTTTATTATGCAATTGATTTTCGCAGTAATTTCCATCCCACCGGACTTGTTAAGCGATGCTTTTTACCCGTAATAAACCATTGTTCCATAACTGAACCACCGCATACCATCCCGCAGCCAATGGGATGGTAGAAAGGTTCCACCGGCAACGCAAAGCATCACTATGTGCCCAATCTAGCACATCCTGGCACGAAACACTTCCACTCGTTCTCTTAGGCATAAGAAACACGAGTAAAACGGATTTGCACGCCACTCCATCGTCGCTAGTTTTTAGATCCACACAACGCTTACCTGGTGATCTCTTCTCACCAAAAGCACCAACAACCTTCGACTATAGCGACTACGCAGCTCACCTATCTCATCACATGCGACAGTTTCAGCCTATGCAACCCAGAGCACAGAGCGTGCGTACCAACGTGGACGAACGCTTAACTACTTGCATGCACGTGTTCGTTCGCACTGACAGCGTACGCCGGCCACTTCAACCTCCTTATTCTGCTCCGTACCGTGTCGTACGCAGAAGCTACAAGACATTTACCATTGACTACAATGGTAAGACTGAGACAATCAACGTCGATCGACTCAAGCCAGCATTCCTCGACAAGTCTGACTCTTCGGTGCAACAAACACCTTCACAACCAGCGTTATCACAGCTGGCACCGCAACCTCAGACGAGTCAATGCGCTCCAGCAGAACCGACAACCACAACCAAAAGCACTCCTACTCGCCCTACTATCAGTCGATGGGGTAGGAAGCTCAAACCTCCAGTTCGTTTTGCGGACTAAGTTAGCTCTCACTATTTCACACAGAACGTCCCTCTGAAATGTTCTGCTCTTACCAAACGTTTACGAAAATCCACAAAAAATAGATCAAAACGTTTTGAAACCACCAATGAAGAGCAAAACCTTTTGATAACCCAAAAACAGGTTCGCATGTTTTTCGCTTTGCAATCTTTTGTGTATGGCTATGCATTTATGCTACCTTTTCATTTGGCTTTCCATATACACCGCCGGTTGATTGCACCTCGGTTTCAATTTTGGCTGGATCCCCGCACGTCAACTGGAAGTGGAACGAACTTCCTGCTCAAACGCCTACGTGAACTTTACTAACTGTCCCCCACAGACAGCTTATTTTACCTTTTCGACATCGTATGGAGGACACGGGTGGAAGCCCGCTAGAGTCCGATTGCACGGTTCTCCCCAAGCAGCTACACCAGGTTTCACAATCTGGTCTCGCAGAAGGCTGGCTCGCGGCGGACAGTTCTCACGTAGATCGAAGGACTGCTTACACGGTCCCTTCTGGGAGAGGGCTATGTAACAATCTGAAGATTCCCCGGTTTGCCTGTGTAAAATTCTAACTAAAATTATTTCATTGTACACTTAGACAACCGGTGTAGTTTGTTGACCTGGTTGCTGAGTTCGAATGCTTGACTTGCTCATCGCCATTTTTGCTTGGCGCTCGTTTCGGTTGCAATTCGCGACTGCCCTGTGTGCTGTGCATGCTCCTTTTCCTTAGCTAGAGCGTCCACGATGTCGTTCTTTTAGAGCTAGATAACAGGAAATTTTTTACTGTACCAATAAAAGTTTCCCTGCAACTCGAGCTGTCTTCTCGAATCGCTATCCGGGCTCCCGGTACAGGCGATCCTCTAAACGAGTGAGAAGCTGTGGACATATTTGGCACAGATCATAGTTTACAGAATATGTCATGCTCATGCTTGCATGGTAAACAGTTACGTGATTTTCAGCGCTTTTGCAGTCTCAAGGGTATGCAATTACTCCCAAATGTGTTTCCACTCAATATGCACTAGTTGGAATCGTGGATGGGAAAAGCACTAGAGGTGTGCCACACAGTATAAAAGATTTGTGTTTCGCTCATCAAATGTTGTCTGGACGTCCTTGGTACAAATAATGAAGTGATCTCTTCCACGAGAACAACGTCACAATCATAATCAAATCTAGGTAATTGGAAAGCTTAACGCGATGGGATTGTGACTGGGAGCTTATTCCACAGGATAGCGTATCTGATAAGGTAAAGGTTAGACCACGGATTTATCATGCACCTGGGTACGCTCAGGGTAAATTCATTACTGCGTAACTTCCTTGTCGAAATATATTGTAGTTCTAGGGAAGGCAAATAGCAGTGGGCCTTTTGAGGAATCACGTTGTACAGAAGTATTAGGTTGTCTCAATCTTCGTAGCCAAAGCGGATCGAGCTGGAATTGTTGGCGGTGTTCCCGATAGTTCTTAGTGAAAGTTATGTCTAGCAGACGTTTGGTAAACGAACTTTGCATAGTTTCCAGAGATGCTCTGTCAGATTTCCTCATGCTACCACAAATACTACTGTAGTATTCTGAAATGAGGCGAGTGAGTATTTTGAACAGTTCCATTCTGACTTAGGTTGTGTGGATA